AGAGTTCCTGAAAGCATACAATTAAACTGTTTAAAGCTCCTTTTTAAATGCTACTTGCAAGAGACAAGAATCTCTGCAGCATTACAGAAGGCATGAAATCTTCCTGTGAAAGCACTATTCACAATTATATATGCATCTGGTAATTAAATGAGACCATCTTAGCCACTAATATACAGAACATACCTTGTTGTGAGTCATTCACTTTAATCAGATGTCTGCCTCCTGTTTGAATTTACTGGAAAACCAGTTGGCAACCAAAGTGGAAAATGGACACGTGGTTTTCTCCAATACTTTGCAAACAGAAATACTGAAGGATTTAACTTTTTTTTTTTTGAGCTTCACACTCATAAGGATACTTTAAGGGGAAAAAAAACCAGAAAACCATGATGTCTCTGGCTGAAGGTAAACTGTTAGTCTTCTTTTGGACAAGAGAAAACTGAAGTTGGGTAGAAGATAAAGTCACTGTGCTGGGAAGGAAAATTAATTTCTATCGTTAACACAAGCGATTATACTTTAGGACACAAAGAAACTATTCCCTGTACTTAAGTCCATTACAGACTTTGGAATTATTACCACAACACTGAGCTTTTCTCTTTATTTGGAAACACATGGCAATCTATAACTCGGCAGTATGCCACACACAATTCAACTAGACTTGGTAACGTATTAACTTTTTGACTAGCAAAATAACTGAACCGATAACTGCTCTTACGGGCCAAGAACCTTTATTCTACCTAAAAATCATTATTCAGACTCCTATGCCTTAAACTATTGACAGGGACTTTAAACTACTGCCTGAACTATTTTGAGATCATCTCATTATAGCTTGCTCACTGCAAAGGATTTACTCCTGGCACACAATGGCTGAAGTGGAAACAATCTCAAACCATAATGTGAATCCAAATAAAGTTGACTCAAATACCTTTGAATGTGCTATTTTTAATCCTCCATGGTCAAATATCTCATTATTGATATTTGGGTATTTTAGCTTGCAATTATTCAGGACTAACATATGGCTGTATTTCTATTTTTTAATGTTGAGAAATAATACATTTTTGCCTTCATGCTTAAATTTCAGTTTGAGTTCATGCTAGCTTACTTAACTAAACTCATCCAAGGTTGGTTTGTTTTTTGTTGGGTTGGTTGTTTTTTGTTTGTTTGGTTGGTTTTTTTTTAATAAAGTACGCCTGATTCCCTTTAGTAGCACTTTTGTAGCCACATAGGTGCAGGTCACTGAAAAATTCATGTGTGTATTACAAAATGCTGATTGCATTCATTTGCTAACTAGCAGTAACTGAGAACTCTCTACCTGAGCAAGAAATACAGCAGTCCACATTTGTGTTAAGCTTTTGAAGGAAGTGCTAACACAAAGCTGGAGCAACAGGAATTACTCAAGACTTGGCTTCCATCATTGCACTAATTCTCACACTGAATAAAGCAACTTTACAGAGCATATAGGGGTACTGCAGATTCAGAGGGGAAAGTTCACCCACTCCTAACACTGCCAGATACCATATGATCCCATATTCAGTTGAGTAGGTGCTACGGAGTATTGTCCTGATCAGTATTTGTAAACTCCAGCTGAGCTCACTGCAGTATAAAGCCATATCACTTGCCTGGCTCAGGAAAGTTCAAATTTTGTTTCCAATTTTGAAACTTCTTAAATTTTTTTATTACCTTCCATTATAGCTCTAACAAAGTCTAAGTCCTCGATTAAAAATTAGAGTATTGGTGATGATCACATATGCTGCTATGACCAAAGTTAAAACTTCCACAATCATCCTTAAAGAAACATTAGCATCAAAATCCTAGTGTAAAGCATTTAAATGCAAGCAATACAAAGTGAATGCCAGTAAACTAAAAAGTTCACTTGTATGGCTGCTTTACATATGCAAGATACAAACATGAGAGGCAACATCTTAATTTTAAGCTTCAAGTATGAAAAAGCAGATCCTCACAAAAGCAACATCAAGTATTACATTATGTAGTGAGTTGACCTCTGCTGGCTGCCAGTTGCCCAACAAGCTGCTCCATCACTCCCCCTCCTCCTCAGGACAGTGGGTGAGAAAATAAGATTAAAAAGCCCTTGTGAGTCAAGGTAAAGAAGGCAGCTTAATAAAGAAAAGCAAAGGCTGTGTGCAGAATCAAAGGGGAAAAAAAAAAAAAAGAATTTATCCTCTACTTCCCATCAACAGGCATTGTCCAGCCATTGCCTGGGAAGAAGGCCTCAGAATGTGCAGCAGTTGCTTTGGAAGACAAATACCTTAATAATGAATGCTGCTCCATACCCCTACCTTCTCCTACCTTTCTATTGCCGAGCACATCATGTGGTATGGAATATCTATTTGGTCAGCTCTGGTGAACCAACCCGGCTACAATCCACTCCCAATTTCTTGCCGACTTCAAGACTACTGGCCTTTTTAGAGGGCATGGGTTTGGAGAGACAGCCTTGACTCCGTGAGCACCGCTCAGCAGTAGCCAGGATACTAGTGCCTTAACACCAAACTGCTTGTCAGATGTGGTCTGGACACCTCAAGTTTTTTACATTCACACATAGTATAACATAATGAGACAGAAAATTGGCCATTCATATTTATGAGATTAAAATAGAACAGCTTTTGAGATAACAGCTCCTCTAGTAGTAAGTACATTTAGCATAGTTTGATGTTTACTTAGCATGATCAGAGATATAAACTGTGTTGGTACAGCAGATTTGTTTGGGTCAGCTTATGGATGGTACTGTATTTTTTTAGCCATTGCTAAAAGCTATTACAAATGTTTTGTCTTCCTGCTTTACACCATAAAATTGTATGAAATTTATGTGTAAGTTCACACAAACTTGAAAGGATTCATTTGTATTGAAAGCGTGCTCTTCTTTCTTTGCTTACTGAATAATAATGAAAACGCAAGGACATGTTAAAAACAAAAATAAATCACACAATCCCATTTCTGTTCTGATGCTAACAGACACCCTGTGTCACCCCTCAAATTGCAGTTGTTGGTATACCAGTCAGCAGTCTTTACTAATGACTCCTGATGCTGATAACACCTCTGAATTACCAGATCTGGCTTCTGGACAAAGCAGCTCACAGCAGTACTACTGGAAATAACAGTCCTTCGGTAGACTCTGATAAAGAACCATAGAATAGTTCTGGTTGGAAAAGACCCTCAAGATCATCAGGTCTAACTGTTAACACAGCACTGCGAGGTCACCACTAAACTATGTCCCTCAGCACGGTATCTACATGTCTTGCAAATACCTCCAGGGATGGTGACTCCACCACTTCCCTGGGTAGCCTGTTACAGGGCTAGACAATTCTTACGGTGAAGAAATGTTTCCTAATACCCAATCCAACTTCCCCTGGTGCAACTTGAGGCTGTTTCCTCTTGTCTTATAGCTTGTTATGTGGGATAACAGGCCGACTCCCACCTTGCTACAACCTCTTTTCAGGTAGTTGCAGAGGGTGATAAGGTCTCCCCCGAGCCTCCTCTTCTCCACACTAAACAACCCCACTTCCCTCAGCCACTGCTCTTAAGACCTGTGCTCTGGTCCCCTCACCAGCTTCATTGTCCTTCTTTGGACACACTCCAGCACCTCCATGTCCTTCTCGTACTGAGGGGTCAAAAACTGAGCCCAGGATCCAAGGTATGGCCTCATCAGTGCCAAGTACAGGAGGATAATCCCTGTCCTAGTCCTACTGGCCTCACTGCTGCTGATATAAGCCAGAATGCTGTTGGCCTTCTTGGCCACCTGGGCACACTGTTGGCTCATATTCAGCCAGCTGTCAATTAGAACCCCCAAGTCCTTTCCTGCCAGGCAGCTTTCCAGCCGCTCCTCCCAAGCCTGTAGTGTTGCAGGGAGTTGTTGTGACCCAAGCATAGGACCTGGCACTTGACCCTCATACCATTTACCTTGGCCCATCAATCCAGCCTCTTCAGATTTCTCTGTAAAGCCTCCCTACCCTCAAAAAGATCAACACAACACTTAACTTGGTGTCATCTGCAAACTTGCTGAGGGTGACCTTGATCGCCTCATCCAGATCATGGATAAAGATATTAAACAGAATAGGACCCACTAATGAGCCCAGGGGAACACCACTTGTGACCAGCTGCTAACTGGATTTAACTCCATTCACCACATGCTCTTGGCCTGGCCATCCAACCCATTTTTACCCAGTGAAGCATGCACCCATCTAAACCATAAGCAGCCAGTTTCTCCAGAAGAATGCTGTGGTGTCAAATAGCTTTTAAAGTTATAGTAACAAGGTTACTGGCGCACTTGATATCGATACTGACAACTTTGACTATTGACACCAGTCAATTCCAGGGACGAATTTTAGACTTACTGTGCTATAGCTGGGTTTTTAATCTCAGCAGAGGAAAGTCCAATAGGTTTTATGCTACTATTAAAAACGTGAAATCTACTAATAAATCATCTTATACATGCTTCTCTTTGCCATCCAGGTAAACCCGTTTTCCAGAGAGGCACATAATAGTACATCCCTCCTCTACAAACTCTGCAAATCAAGTCTTACTTCTGAAATCAAATTGTTTTCTTTTATTTAAGATCAATGGATTTGTTTTGCCTAGTCAAATTAGTGCTGATATGTGTGAAATCAATCTTGATATTTAAGATATGATTGAATTCTGAGGGTGAAGCTCATAAAGGAAGAAAATTATTTAAGTCAAAGGACAGTATTAACCCAAGTACAAGCTGGCTATGAAGAAATTTGCAGTAAAAATCAGATCTTTTACAACTGTCAAAGCAGTGGTATTCTGGACAAAGGATGTTCTGAAACTGGAAGTATGCATGGAAAGGGATTGATTCTCTCACAGTCCTTAGAAGATAATTCTTTAATTGCAACAGAAGTTCTTACTTGAAACTGATTAATTCCTTCAGAACCCTCTGATATAAAATGGTTTTTCCCATATACTTCAGTGGAGAATTTATGTAACTAAAATTATTTCCTTACTCAAATTTTCAAATTAAGTTTTACTACCTGCAAGATCTTCTTTGGAGGAAACCAGTCGAGGAGAGCTGTTCCCTGGCTCAATTCTTAATGATAATCTGGAAAAAGAAATTTTTAGAGATATTAACAGAAAAAAATAATTCTCAAAAAGTTGAAAGAAACTGAAGAAATGTTTGCAGTGGTAAGCAGGAGCTTTACTTTGAGAGAAGTGTAGTTATATATTTTGTTATGTAACAATATATAATATATAACTTTTTTATAAGTAAATCACTACCTATAAGATGCAAGAAATAAACTGTGAGGGATGGCTATAAATACAGAAATGGAAATTGGTATTGTATACTCCCTGTCAGTGCAAAAACAAGTTCCTACAGTCTTTCACCTGGAAACAAAAAACAAAACCAAACTTGAAAAGTGAGAAAATTTAGATACAAACCTTACAGCAAATATCTTATTCCCTCTGTGCATTAAATGTGAATTTATGCTGTTACCAGGTGGACGCTTGAACTCAGAACCAGCTATTTAGAAATATTAGTTACTATGATTTACAGAAAAGGAACACGTGGGTAAAGTGACCAGCACTCAATAACAAAAGAAGACAATTAGAAGAAAGTTATGATATTATGTGCCAGTCTGCCTCACTCCATGTGTTTTATGATGCACTTACTTGTTGCCTTATCTCAGCAATCCAACATGTCTTGATCTTTCAGTGCATGTGACTTCGGCCATCTCTCAAGTTTATGCACTCTTAACTTGACATTCATGGGTCCTTTGCTCTGTGACAGTTTTACCAAATAAGTATGGAGGACTACAACATTAAGTAAATTTTAATGGGACAGGCATAAAACCAACAGGAAATTACTGCTGTTATTGCACAGCATTGAACACGCAAAAGTTGTGAAGGTTTCGAGCCACAGTCTGCAACGCTTGGCTGTATACAAACACCAGTGAATGTCTTTTTAACTCACAAGGAAAGGGGAGTAAGAACCTGTGACAGCATTTCAAAATATCACACGTGGCCTAACTATCACTTTCCTTCCTACCCTGTCTTTCAGGTACATAGAGTTTTATGGATAATAACTTCCAGTCCATTCTCCACAGTATTCCAACACTTTCTACTGTGTTTTAGTGTGAGGTTAGCTGAGAAACCTATGGTCCCTTCTCATGTTTTACAATCCACATTCTTCTAATAGTACTAGATTCTTTTAACTATCCAAAGTAATTCAAATAGGTAATGAATCATTCACTTTCAGATTATCTTTTCTTTCTGTCAACATGATTTTAATGAGTTACAGTAATATAAGTCATGTATCTAAAATATATATACTTATATTTTTAGAACAATTCAAATGTTAATTTGAATTCCTTTCAGTATGGAAAAATAGCAAAAAAACTTAATGAAGCCTCTCTCTGTAAATAGGGCCCGATGGTGTGAATTTATCTTCCATGCCTGTAGAAATGTTCCAGTCACATCCCTTGCACAGCAGTTATTCCTTTGTTTATTTTTAAGGTTGATCCGTTCCTCACTATATTAGAGGTTTATTGTCCCCATGCTGTGAGCTTGATTTTTGTGTAGAAAGCTTTTTTAAAAAGTATCATTGGTTTTAAGAATCTCCTGCAGAACTGTGCTATTCACACATTGATAAATATGGGTATTAAGCTCAGGTTACTGAGTTAGTTCATTTGATGAACCAAAGTCCTTATGCAAAACAGAACACTCATTTCAACTTGTTTCCCATAAGAGTTGCTCTCCAAACAGAAACAAACAACCCTTCTGCTAACCCATCTCTTTTCCACAATTGCTAATTTCTTTCTTCTGTTTCTGTCTGTGCAAAGGAGCTGTTGCATATCCTTCTCCACATCTGATAACTGCATGTTTTAGCTTCTACCAGCTTTGAGGAACTCATATCTGACGCTCCTTACTTATCCTGCTACCAAATAAATTACTCAGTTTTATTAGTCCCCAGTGGCAACAGCAACAGTTTGGTCACTGTGGAAACATTTGTCTCATAAGCCCACTGCAAAAATATGACTGCAAATCAGTCCATGTAAGCAAATAGCTTCTCTCTTTTACAATAGCACGATTTGTAAAGCATTCCTCTGGAAAATTTCTTGTTTTGATAGACTAAAAGGAATTAAAATCTATATGTAAGGATACCAGATTAGACTCATATTCTTAAGCATGCTGATGTGAACTGTGCTCATTAAGTAGGTCCAGTCTATCGTTTCAGATAACTCTTTACAGACTCAAGTATTTTTCAGAGCAAGTGTAGCAGGACCACCTCACATGTCTGAGGCCACCACAAATCACTTGTCCAACTTTACATTTTGTATCAACTTACTTAGCTTACTATATATCAAGCTCCAAGACCAAGTAGAATTCTTACATGTTTGAAAAAAGAGCACAGGTTAAATACTGTCTATGAGTATGTATGTAAGGTGAAGTGCTATGACCTGCTATCAGATTTAAGGCAAGAACATTCTCATATCTTCTTTGGTGGTCAGAACATCTCACAAAAGCAAGATCAACTTCCTTGGAACTACCCGCACCATACTATTTCTTTCTGTTGAAAAATATTCTTGTAAAGAAAAGGGGAAGGTAACAGCAGAAATGAAGACTTAACATCTTTATGCTTTTAACAAAGTTTTAGAAAGAAGCATGGTATCATCATAAAATCTAGAAAGCACATGTGGTGTGTGCTGAACTTAAAAGATCACTGATAGAGCAACAAGTGAGTCTTCAGTGTTACAAAATGAGATTATGTTGCTATCCATTGGTCAGCTCTAGAAAATGACAAATTAGATAATGATTATGTTTGGTTATGTTAAAGTACATTCTGAAACCTTAGCCTTTGGTAAGTCTCTAACATTTTGGTAATTGAATTTCGAAATGTTTTCAACATAAAAAAATACAATTTAGCTATTCAACTTAGCAAAATACAGGATAGTTTAAAAGAACAACAAATAAATACAAGTCTAAATTTCAGTTTTGGTAAATATAAAATACTCATGCTGACATGTGTAACAAAATACTTAAAATAAACTGTGAGAAAAGGGAATATATTCCAACAATGAGATGGGATTCCTGGACCACCTTCTCTCCTCTTCCCTCTCTCCTCTAGAAAGCTGGGAACAATCATAACCACTTTTTATTTCAAAGAAGAGATACTGCTAATTAGTACAGTTTCAACCAGTCTTAGCTTGTTTGTAACACAAATTCATTTTTGCAGTTCCTATGACACTGCATTTTCCACTGAGAAGCACAGGTTACACACATGCACACATGCTCATCTGCTCTCACCTTGCTGTATGTGCATATACTTATGCCAGCAGCATGAGTGGTGTCTCCCACATAGCACTCTCAGAGCCAGAATCTTTGGCCCCTCAGAAGCTTACTGTGATACTCTCAATAGGTCTATGCAGACACTTGCCACTTGATGTGCTTACAACCAACATTCATCATTCATATCCATCACATGGACCTCTATACCAAACTAATCTTAAATAACACTGCTACTGAGTGCCACTATATAGCTCATTTAAGGGTAACATTCCCAATAAGCCAGAAAAGAAGAATCTAACACAACGCATAAAATAAAGTAGGTAGCCAGTCTTGAACATAGTTCTGTTTTGTGGGAGTATGCTCTCCAGTACAGGATGGAACTAGTGCTAGGACAGTAAAGCTACTTTTACTCAATTCTCCTAATAGTAAGCAAGTGAATAAAGACAGTACAGCTTTGCAAGAACAAGATGTGTAGGTGCTCCATGACGAGGCTGAATAAAACTTCTCTTTCTTGAGACAAAGAAGACCTAAGTTGTGATAAAGCAGTGCAGTCCTCAAAAGTGTCACTCAGGGCATTTCTGACCAGTATTTGTGTACAAATTGGAACATTATGGGCTGCCTGTGTAGCATTTAAACAGTAGGTCAAACAGTTTCTGGAAGCTTCATTGTCTTCAAGAATGCTATGTGGAAGAGGCAGCTAAGGCAATAAATATGACTGTTTATCCATGTGGTCACTGGCTCATGAGAAATCACAGACTAATAGTGAATTTCTCCTCTACTCCTGCCTTTGACAAAATTCTTGGTGGAAAAGGTCCAGGGAATATAGCTGCCTGGGAGGCATGGACTGTTGGCAAGGTTCACTGTTATAAGTACTAATATTTTAAGCATCTGCCATACAATTCCTGTTATGGTGCAGCTGGTGCTTTTATAGTTGCCATCCTTGTTAGGAGTCCATATAATGTTTTGTCTGTTAATTTCTCTTGGATGCTTTTCCATAGCATTCTGCCCAGCTGAATCTAAGCTGGAACTGATTTTTCTGGAAATCATCTTACTAGTATATTGGAATATCAGTGTCTTGTCTAATATGCTCTGAAGAACTCAACTGTATGAAGAGATAGCAGCCTACAGAATGAGATTTCAATCCTGATTGTCCTGTCTAAATAACATCATAATAGAAGTAAAAGTCTTAAAACTGGCTTTTCTCAAACAGCAGCCGTGGAGAATACCAAAACAAATTCAGACCAAGAAGAACAGTGGAGAATACCAGGCCTGGCTTAATGATATCAGAAGGTCAGTAAAAAAAACAAACAAACAAACATTGTTTTGGAACTCCTGCAAAGCACGGCAGGTTAGAAAAGGATGTGGCATGGTGTCACAGTGTTTGGATAGCACTGTCTAGCTCAGGGAAACACTGCCTACCTGGGACAAGCGTTCTCCTCGCATCACTTCTTATGCTCCTGGAAGAGGAAGAAAATACTGCAAGCAGCTTCATCATGATATCTCTGAAGCCCACTGGCTGCCAGTTATGCCCTCACATAATAATTAGCACTACATTTTGGGTATAACTAGAAGGAATTCTGATACTTTGCTCCCTTTGCTCTCAGCTTCTGCAGAGAACAGTGTATGTTCTGAGCAAGAAAGATCTATTATTTTTAGGATATGACATCATTGTCAGGGTTTTTCTGGAGTGTTCCTACTTGCTGACAAGCACAAACCTAAAGCAGCAATGGGACTGGCACAAAAAACTGTGGAGAAAAGCTTTGTTTATATAAAGCAGCTGCCAAATTTTCCTTTTCAGTGTAATTGAGGTTCTCATTTGGCAAAACGTGTGTTGGGATCCTGCCAATACATTTTAGGGCAACTATCTAAGCTTCTCTCCCTGAGAGCCTGGTACTGAGATAGTTCTGTTCTCTCTGCCAAAGGTCAAGCATGCATCTTTTTGGAGTACACTAATACTGTTCCTGGCTTGAAAAGAGCAGTCACTGGAAAGAGAGAGAGAGAGGCGAGATTCTTTCCCGCTATAAAAACTTAGCACTCTTTGCCTTTTTAAGGCTTACAGTTTCTTCTGGCATGGGACCAGAAAATGCTATGAAACTGAAGATCCATTAGGGAAAATTGAGAGGAAAATGTGAAATCAAATATTCAAAAGAAGATTCAAAAACTTCTTATCAAATACAGAGATGGAAGAGGAACAAGAGTCCTATTTAAGAGTAGGTGTAATGAGTTCTGATGAATAAAGGCTTTAATTTAAACATTTGTTCTGATGAAACAAACATGGTAGGAAAAGGTGAAAGTTCTCCAATGGATATAAACTTCAGCAACTTTACTACACTAAGAATCAAATCTTTCCATCTTATGAATACCTCTTGCGACTTGCAGTCAATTTGTTTCTTGGCACAGTGAAGTCTAGAATGAAAACTGCTAAATTTGATGGAAATACTCTCACAAATAACAAAATCAAAAGAAAAAGTACTAAATGATCTTTAAGATACATAGCATATCTTCCAGCACTGTCAGCAAGATGGTTGCTGCTGAAATTATTTTCAAATTTAAACTGAAATTACTTACAACTTGAAGTTTTTCCAAATATTATGTTATAGTATCACATACTTACAGAAACCAATTATTTAATCTCTTTTTCTGAAGATAATACAGTTTGTGAAAGCTATCATATATAATGTTAACAGTGATGCACAAGTCTTAGACTGCTGTGTGCAATGCTAATGTTCAATGTGCATCCGCTGCATGATGCATCTCTATTTGTGAAGCGTATTCAGTGTCATGACACTGAGAAAAGGAAGAACATATGCATGCTATCATGTATTCTGGCAGGAATTCTAATTCCATGAAGTAGATATATTTTGCTACAAAACCATCATACAAACATGTCCTTGTTTCCTTTTTTTCCCCAGCAGTTTTCCTACAGTAACATGACTACTCTTTGTATCTGTGATCAATCAGGCACAAAAGCACAAACCTATCAAACCATAGCCAAGTATGATCTTTTGCAGTAAGCCACCCAATGCTAGTCCGGATTCTTCTGCTGAAGTTTACGCTAAGCACGGGGACAAATTTTGGACATTTTCCTCTGTCTTCGAAGTATGTCCTGATAGTATTCAGAGAAGTTCCGAAATACTTAGTGCGATTCACTTGCTTTTCCTGAGAGAATAATTCTAGAAGTAAAAGTTCCACACACATTTATCACAAGAATCCATATCGACAGATTTGGCTGAGGAAATGTACTGCATGCACACAGGGGCCTGAACCAGAACTAAGGGGAACAGCTTTGGCAGCTGCAGTTATCACCAAGAGTAATTATGTTCAAAATCAAAAAGACAAATCACTTGACTCATGCCATGCGCAAACACATGGGTTTTTGTCTCTGTTATACAGAGACGCCTTTTTTTCCCTCAACTGTCTCAGCAGGATTTTGCATCTGTATGCCAGCAATATTAACTATAATTGCAGAAAAATGTAGAATGTTTAGGGTAGGTCATTCCTCATGCTCATATATACCTGAGCCCCCACTAGTAATACACAGTCTTCTGATTCACTGAATCTGCTCTTTCCACCAACACGAACTGGAGCCTTCACTTCATTAACAGATCAAGTTTCAACTTAAAATTATGTAACTATTTGTCTCACTACACTGATTAAGAAGCTATACCAGAATGTCATTATTTTCAAATTTCAACTTTTAGCTTCTAAATTTTTTAATTTCTTTATCCTTATGGTACCAGTATAATTTAGTTTAATTTGCTCTTTACTCTCCTTATTTTCTCCCAGTTGTGTTTATATATAGCGATTCTATTACACAAATTTCTTCCTTTCTAGGCTAAAGCCAAATCTAGTTCTTTAAGTATGGTGTTACAACATAGACTTTATTCACCTGATTGCATCAGCATTTTTTTAAACCCACTCTAAGCACAGATGGCCAGAACTGTATACTGCATGCCACATAAGGTATCACCAGCTCCTTTTCAAGCAGTATTAACAATTTAACTTTTTACAGAAACAATGTATTTGACAGGTAGTAGGGATGAATTTGTCTTTTCGCAGCTGCATCTCACTTCTGGCAGACACATACTGATGAATACCACAAATTATTTTCAGAACAAATATGTAACATTTTTATTTTTCTGCCACTATCATTTTATTGATCAGGCCATATGGCTTTTCTTTTGTGATATCCAAATCATCTTCTACTTCAATGAACATTTCACAAACTGTTTTATTAGCATATGGTCTTTGTGCATACAAATTCTGAGACAAAGCTCTTAACTGAAGTATTAATAGAACAGGTAACAGGACTTGTTTTGAAGAAGTTCATTAGCAACTTTGCACTCCAAAACACATTTTAAAATCTTTCCTACCACCACCATATTACTGAACCATCTGGTTGCCTTGAATACTTTTAATTCTGTTGACCTAAATAGAGGTACTATACCTGTCAATAGCTAATTATATACCATTGCATCTACCTTGGTTTAGTTATTTAAAACCTTGGCTGAAAGACTTGTGATTTAATAGTGCTAGTTCCTTCAGAATTATTTGCCAGGGAATATCACCTCCTTTAACTGGAGCACATTAACATACTGACTGATATGCTCTATGGTGTCTATTTCACACCACTGGGTGGATTAGCTCTTCTACACCTCTTTTGTAAGCATTGCTTTAATATGCTTAAACCCCCAAAACATCAGGTTTATATTTTAAGTAGTGATTCATTAAAACTAGTAATTGAAATCAGAAGATGTTTTTAATGTATTATTTACAATAGCACAGAGTCTATATTGGACATCTTGGAGTTGGCTTTAGGGTTCCTGAACAAAATTCTCAGAACACAACCATTAAGTAATAGAATAAGGACTAGAGTTTCAACTGCTTTTATCTTTTACAAAGATATCTGATTTTGGAAATCCAGTTAGTGTCAGAAAGGAAGACTGTAACTCTGGATTGATTTTGGAAATCCAGTTAGTGTCAGAAAGGAAGACTGTAATTCTGGATTTTACTCAGGCATCCTGTTATTATCAGCTTAATTAATAAAATATCAAGAACACTAGACAAACCCCAAAACATGTTCAGCCAATAGTTTTTTGTTCAACTTGTAATCAAACTAACAGCCAAGTGATCTTTCCATTAAATTCCCCCAAACCTTAAGAAAAGAATGGTGCTTACTTGTAATTGTCATCTTCTACAAATTTCTGAAGTTCTTCAATGTAACGGACAGACTTCAAATACTTCTGCACATGTGGCAGTGTTGTGAGATGATCTGTGGAGTGTTCAAACAAAAAAAAAGATTAACATACACATCATTCAAAATTAATTTTTTGGGGTTTTTAATGGTTCTTATGGTTATCTGGATGGAAACAGAAATAAAAGAATAAATCAGGAAAAAAAATATTACTGTTGACTCTAAAAAGGTTTTAAAGATTTAGTTGAGCAAAACTGATGCTCATCTTTTAAAGAAAACAGATGCATTTCTTCATCATTATAAAAACTAGTGAAGATCATTATATGCTATCTCAAAAGTGGAAAAGAGCTACTTGTTGCAAACCCTGTTTGAATTTTCTGCTCACTGTTCTGGGGGAAATTAAAGAGCTGCAGCCATAGCTGTTAGTGATTTTTGTATGAACATGAAGAGACTTAAAAATTACACTGCTGAATAACAAGACAGCCAAATATTAAGACTGACAGAATAATCCTTTGGCACATGGTCCGTGGACAGGAACATGCCTTGTACGATATAACTTAACTTCTATGCTCATGTAAAGACATCTGTTTTAAGGACACTCATTATTTCAGAATATTCCTTCCTCAAGGCTGTATTTTAATTTTCATTGTGATTTTAACAAAACAACTCAAAATTAATGCATATCAATGAAGGAAGCTGCCAAAATTGTAAAAAGGAAAGGCTTAGTGAAATAAATGAGGTTTCTTTATCAAAGTATTCAAAGACAAAATGAAGCTCACAATAAGAACATGATAGCTGAATAATCTAGCTATTCAGAATCATACATTAGTATGCCTAGTCCATCCCTTTAAATACTTTATAATACTGAAGTTGACAACAAAGAACAAGAGCTTGATATTTAAGCATATGCAAGTAATTTCTCACCTAATTTTCTCACAATCTATTTATTTTAACATTTATTTTTTTCTATTAATAACTCTCAAAAAATTGTAGCATTTAAGTGTTCTGAATTTATTTAAATGTAGAGCTACTCTCAAGGTTTTCCAGCTTGTTTCATGTTAAAGCAATGAAAAGTCATGCTAAATCACCAAGGGTATGCTGAGTATTTCTCAAGACCCCAAACCCAGCACATTTCTCAACATAAGGCTTCACTAGCAGGCTAGAATTACAGAATTTATTTTAGAGTAAATTCTTGTTAACAAAAAGAAGCAGCCCCCTCATGTTCCTCACTTTATCAATAAGTGACGTATGTGGAAAAGCCTAATACACAATTTAACAACTGTTGTATAGATTGAAGTATTTGTATTTCATTTTCTAAACACATTATCAAGATTATAACAACAACAAAAAAAAATTAACACATTCTACACTCCAAAGACATCGTATCTACTGCAATAGAAAGGAAAGATATTAAGATAATTCCCTCTGCCTCTGATTGTAATAGAATACAACCCAAAGCAAACAGCTGTACTTGAAGGTATTTAATTTGTAGTCCACATGTAGCAGTAAACTCTGCACAACTTAATAATTATATAGATGTATTATATAGATGTAACTTAGAGTTCTTACAATTTAGAATACATGCTTATTTGCCTAGTTCACTGGTAGGATTGAAACTGCACAGAAGTGGAAGCTACATCACTTACTGGTGTTCAACTCTACGAGCAATAGCCTCCTGTGTTGCCTTTAGGCCAAAGCCCACTTTCACAATGTTGAACAAAAGAAATTTTAGTTAAGGCTTAACGGACATAACAAAATTTACCAACCATAGTTGCAGGAGACTTGCAGATCAGCTATTATTCGAAGAATATTGTTCATTTGATTGGATCTTTGTTCATTCTCCATAATGCTGCCTGAAGCTGGATATGCAGAATCAATGTAGATTAAATCCAAGAGATAAATTCCTGGCAGGGAAATTAAAATAAAAATTAAAAAAAATCAGTTAACTAATTGATCGAGTGTTTCAAACAGAAATAGTTACATAATTTTTAACGAATATAACAGCCAGCAACTATTTACACCACTGTGGTCTGAGCTCATTAAACAAAGCAGAGCTTAGGATTTGCATGTTGAAAAATTTCATAATTAGCACTTGAGTTCTAGGACCCTCTCTTAAAATAGGCCAGAAAATATTTTGCTCATGGCACTTATATAGCCTAGTGTCTACCATGAGCAATTTGGAGGACTGTAACAACGACACTGAAAAAAGACAGAGAGCGGCCCCAAGTCCCTCCCTGCTGCTGGTAGAAGCAGTGTGTGTGGGGCTGGCAGCAGGCACAGCAGCCTCTGGCCACAGTGGGCAGAAGTTTGCACTGCGCTCTTGGGCCTTCTAGGTCTGCCAGTATTTTCTGTATTAAGATATTACTGTATATTTTGGCTGAGGCTCCAGGCTGCACTTGCTAGAAGACAAAAGGAGATAGTATTAAGGTTTTGATTATGGGATGATTTAAAAAGGCATGAAGAAAAGGGTTTTATTTATTATTTTTTTAATTTAAAAAAAGGCATAGCCATTTGCCTAGGCTCAGACTTCTCAGTAAACACAGAAAGAGGGTGATTATTGTAGTGGCCAAAAATACTAACAGTTCTTGTGCTTTTCTAAAGCACTGGCTAACTAGACCAAATGTCATTTTTGGTTGGTAAAGAAGCATATTATATAGAAGTCATGTGTTGGAAGATGTCAGCTATCCTCATCACCAAAAATCTACCTATATTCAGTGTTTGGCAGGCAAATATTTTGCATAGTTAGTCTCTTTTGTATGGTACTTTTACCTTCAGAAATCATAGAAGAAAGTAAAAGGCAGGCTTAAAGAAGAAATGAATTCATGATACAGCATAACATTTCTTGCATGATACCCTATTGCTTTTTATCAACACACGCCATTCAGTTTCATATATCATTATGACTGGTAGCAGGCTTCTTTTACAGCCCTAGAACAATTAGAAAGCAATCACAAATGAAGGGAAAAATATTGCCTGGGAAGGACATAAAACATACAGACATCAAGGTTGAGGAAATTGAATCATTGCTGAAGACTGCTTAGAAAGTTCTAGTTTTTAACTCTGGTAAACTGAAAGATAATTCTGAACACAGTTTTTCAACACTCATGAAATCTATGATGAAAGTATAATGCAAGGCTCATCTATTTATTTCAGAAACTATCTGAATGCATTTAAATGAAGATGAGGAAGAGTAACACTCTTGCCTTTTGTGACGATACTGTAAGCAGTTTTAGTACTCCAATCAGATGAATGCAGAGGAGTACAGAGGTTCCGAGTGTGTGTGTGTAAAATTAATTTACTTTAGTTCTATCTATGCCCTCTTTTGATCAGGCCTTGGGCACAGATCACAGGAAGGAACAAAGTCATAATGCACAGCACTTCAATTCTTAAGTAAGTGGAATATTTAGCCTGCTGAGGCAGATTTTTAACAATACACTTAGTCATCTCCAGTGTGTCCTTGGCCACAGGGACATTCTGTGACTAAGACCTCCTGAAAGAAGTGAAGGCAAGCACCGTATAAAGGAGACTTGCTGCTCTTTTGCCTCTTCATGGAGCCATGCGACAGCCAGACATACCCAAACTAGATAATACAAGAAAGAAAGTGCAGCTTCATCAATTCTTAATGTATGTTTACTTTTTTTTTTTTTAAATTTTAAAAAAAATCCCATTACTGAACACTCAGTCTCCAGGAAATAAGAAGTGCTTCAATTTGTAATCGTGTATCTTTGAATACAGGTGTACAAGCAACTTAAGACAATATTTACACAAAGTTAGCAGTGGCAAATAGTAATGAAGTAGATGCAACCCTAATACTGCAATACCACTTGCAGCAGAAATCTTTTATATACAGTCTTCAATATTCTTATTTCTGCTGATAAAGTGCAAATCTGATTCTGCTGGATATGTACTTCAAAGGGGAAACCATAGTTTACACAGTGACCTTAGAGCAACTAAGTTCTAGAAGGGCTAAATACATCATTTTGCATCTCACAACTTCATTACTGTTTATTAAAAAAAAATCATAAACAAAAAAACCCTGCCAAAACTGTGCACAATGATGTGTATAATTTGCTATTATTCCACTAAGCACTCCAGATAGCATGAAAGCTTGGACCAACGGAAGCAGCTCCAAGCAGTAGTCTTTTATGTGATTTTCGCACATCATATAAGGACATCTGCTAGCTAAAGGTAGGGACAGGTTAACAAATATTTTTTTTCAGTTGATACAAACAAAGTCAAACTATATTTTGTAGCTACATATTAATTACCTATTTAGAGACAAGGGTCTATTAAAATCCACCCTTATCAGATCCTTTCTCTGTGTGCCTTGAAATCTCATAGCTATTGATGTTGAACATTAGTTAGCAACAGATCATGTTCCATCAATAACAATTTTCTTTTAATACAAGATAAGCAGAAATATTCTAGTCATTAGATCTGAAACAGAATCATTCTGAAACTCTTAAAAGTTTCTATTTGAGGCAGAATCCACTGGAAACAATAGTACATGGTAACTGTAATGCATGAACCCTTGAGAGACCTTTGCAAACTGCAACTTCATCAACATTTCACCTTACCATGCAATGCACATATTCTTCTAATTGTTCAGTAACAGCACTGTCAGAATATGCTTTCCAACACTTGGCACAATAAACTAAGATTTATACTTTTCAATTCCTATGAACTATGGAAAAATGTCTTAAAACACCACAGAACACAAATATTAACTAAAATGTAATAGCGATGAATACTGTCACAGAAGTCTGACTCAACATCCACATCCTCCCAAAACATCCCCCAAAACACCTTCCTCCAGAGCACAGAAGAAATCAAAACGAAACTAAATGCTCTAGAAGCCCAAACACAGTACAGTGATTCCACAAGGCTAACCTGATACAAGCCTTGGTTTTGTAGTTTTTTGCATGTAAATGCAGCCGGTAGAAGAAAAGCAGCAGATTAAAGAAGCACAGGACTACATTAATCCTCTATGTATGTGGTAGGGACTAGGTTAGGAAGTGTGGTCTCTGTGTCTGAAAACAACTCTATGTACTAGGATTTACTAAGTGATCTGTAGAAGATACTGTTCTTCTGTTAGCTAAATATGACACAAATACTGTTTCAGATAAAAATCAGTATTTCCTGTGGGTGATAACTTCACTTTCTTTTTTTACTTACATTTTAGGGGGCGAAAAAAACCCCAATAACTCAAATCCCAATTCCTGCTTTCCATTCTTCTGAACTTACCTATTACAAGGGGCCCGACCACACTGGGAACTACTTCAGCCTTCATCCAACACACAAGCGATACTAACATCTACACACTGGCAATAGGGACCAGGCATCTTCCACATCAGAATGAAGAACCCTGATTTCCCCAGTATTGAAATGTCTCGGTAGCAGTCCAATGCTGTGCCCAGATTGAGTTACCGTAATTTTTCCATGATCTGGAGATCCTACCTAGATATTTCAATAGTGCTCCTCTTCCCCCCTCCTTTTAGAGCATGTAAGATGATTGGTTTCATATGATTTTTTTTCCCCTAGTGTTAACAGCCTTCATCTGGGCAGTGCCATTTTTAACTCTTTTATATATATGATTTGACAGTAGGAATAGATGAAAATCAGTTGATTTTTCTCAGAGGAATCACAAAATTATTCCCTCCAGCAAAAGACTTTAAGACATCCTTCTCAAAGGAATGCCTCCAGGTTGCCACACGCCAAAGAAAACACGCAGCACTAGCTTTTCAAACCTTGGCTTACATTTCTGCTACTGTGCACTGAAAAAAGCTCCCTAAGATGTGAAGCCATCAGGATATATTCCAGAGGGTGAGCTCATGGGCAGCTACTTTCACAGGCAAAACATTTTCCAGTGATACTGACTTTTCTCCATTGTTACCAGAACTACTTTTGCAGCTGGTCATTGTATATGGACAACACAGTTTTGTTGTGTTTTTTTTTTCCCCCCTTACTCTATTTTGTAATTGATGTAAAACTATCTTGTGAAATAATAGGGTTAGCAAACACAAAATTAAGTGGTTAAAACATACACTTTACTGCATACTGCTCTGCTAAGGGCCTGTGCAATTCTGAAAATGCAAGTAAGTTAGGAAACAGCTGCTGTGTGGTATTTTTGTTAGTCAGATATTCACTACTTTGCAACAAAGAATAATTGGCTGGTGGGGAAGTATTTCAGATTAGCCTCAGGACTTCAATTTGTTATTCTTACTTAACATTTTTATCAAGTACTATAAGAATGTTCCACATCTGTTTAGTAAATTGTACTGTTACTGTGACAACAAACAAGCTACAAAAGGAAAAAAAGTCAGATGTTTTAATGAACAGATTTTGTTTCCTATTTACCATCACATACACTTTCTTAAGATATTCACAGCCCAGAAGCCCCCAAATGCACATATGCTGCAATATAACATGGATGCCTGGGTACAGAACATTCTTTCAATACAGTAACCAGTGTCTACAAGACATGAAGTAACTGGCACACATAACAGGAGGGAACCTATGAAAAGTAATTATTTTTCCTTTTCTCTCCCCAGAAGTTGAATGACATGACTTGATATGAAAACCAGAGGAGACAAAAATATGTTTCCAATACAGTCAGCTATGCTTATGAAAGCCTTTTCCCACATAGTGTGGCTGTATCACACTAAACACAAGAGAGGACAGAAAGAAAGCAACTTATCAATTAACTAAGTGGTAGAAAGCCCAAATCACTACAGTCAGCAGTCTGTAAAACCAAAGATACCACTCTTAAGAGATTAGCTCATAGTCAAGAAAAGCCAACAGTTTTGTGGTATCATTGGTTTCAAGAAGATTGGATATTTTCCATGGACTAAGGAGCTGGAAAATTTTTTTAAAAAAAACAAATGTATATGCTGGCTAACCTTGG